ATATGGGCTACTAAACGGCTGACGTCGCGTACGATGCGCCGTGAAGATGGCCAAATACGCCGGCCTCCTCTCCGGCACATCGTACAACCTGTCAGATGTTTCGTAGGGCATGTCCACGGACGTTCAATTCTGGCGCCACTTCCGCTGTGTACGGCCTGCCAATGCGTTTTTTTTTGTCGGTGGAAACGAAAGTTTTCAGAGCGGCCGCAATTATCGGCATTGAGCCTGGTGGCGCTCACCAGTGGACAGGCTATAGGGCGAATGGGCGGGAGCGGCCCGAGGTCCGAGCAACGCGAAAGCATTGCCGGTGTCCTCTGGGCTGCGACTCTAGGGACAAACTCAGGGGAGGAAGCAGAAGTGGATAACTGTTTCTGTCTCCCGGCAAAGCGGCAGGCCGTAGCGGAGCGGCAATGATCAAGCGGCCGTGGTATCTACATGTCTCACTCTTTAGTAATCAGCGATGATGTTCATATTTCGGCTGCTCTGCAGGCGTTGTCTCCGCGAGCGTACGTTTCCCATTGAACAATGAACCTTTTACCTACTTCGCTCGAAGGTCGCGGCTCACTTTTCTTTTTGGAGATTCTCAGGAACAAAGAGCGTCGCTAATATCAGCCAAACTGGGAAACGGGGAGAGCGTGATCATTGAAATTGGTGTCGGGAAGTTTTTGATGAGCTGCCAATTCAGAAGCATGCAGTGGACGAATTCCTAAGCAGTTGAACCGACAGCCACGAAGATGAAAGAAGTTGTTAACCCTCTAAACCCCCCCCCCCCCCCCCCCCCCCGTATTATACATATGCCACGTTATCTTACCCATTTAAAAACAGTTTCGTTTTGAACACCCACGGTGTCATCGATGATACAGACCACTTATACGTTTTTACGTCGTTGTAGTTGTAATATAGTGCACGAGGCGGCTTGACGGCGTGTTTAAATGTTGTCAGAACCCAGCAGAAGAGGGATGCCATTAGAACGTGGACGTCTTTTTGATGGTTCCTCTTCAAATAAAGGTAGACATAATGTTGTTTTTTTTCTCTTTTGTGGGCGTGTGTGCGCGCTGTGCAAACTATAAGTGCTTCTAAAGCCTCCAAATGAACGTTATTTGCGCTGTTTGCATACTGAAGCAATGATACATAATAACGTGATTGCGTTTCACGTGTGCTACTCCAGGTGTTCCACATATGGTTCGACGGCCGTATACGATATGCTACGAATCACACTTTGGCGCATCTATATATACTGTGAGCGTAATTGTTTCAGCCGAGTCGCGCCATGTGACATTTTAAGCTGCATGCCATCGAATCACCACCTCGACAGTGACATTAATGGCTTAAGCAACGATGGGTACAATATACCTGTACCAGATGATGTAAATCACCGTCCTTGACATGATGCTGTCACCAGCAATGAGTAATTTAAAGAGCAAATGGATTGTAGCAGCGACTCACCACGTGGCATGGCTCTATTCACAGAATTCGATAAAAAGGTGTCTGCTGGACTCTGCTCGTTAACATTTAGTGAGGCTTCCACTAAGCCAGAAGCAGTCGCTTCTCTGGTTATCTACTCTCTGAGGTTCGCACGTGCTGTAGTGGTCATATCTTTTCTTGAGGAGACCAGCCTACGCAGCACCTAGTCAACTGGATTCCCTAAATGTGACAGAGCTGAACTAGAGCACTTAGTATCGTAATTTTTCTTGATTACATTGCTTGTTCAAACACCGAGCGTCTGATGTTACAGGGAAAATTGTATGAAGATTCCTGCAGTCTCGGAGGTGATGGTATGAAACAGATTTGAGAAGTTAGTGAAGCTGTTCCGCTTCATTGAAGAGTTGAAGTAACAGAAGGCAAATGTGTCAAATCTTGAAAATTAGAGCGTGGTTGAATTCACTTGAAGAAAACCTGTACAGTCGGTACTTTTACAAGTAGAATGAGAAGCATATGTCAACCTTCATCGATGTTAATAAAGCACTTCAGAGTCCCTTACTGCAGTGAGACCTTAGAGGTAGGAAAGCCACATTCACTGACCGCACCTCCCAAAAAGCGGAGCGTCGCGAGGGGTGTTCCCCAGAACAATGTGCATCCTGATGAAGTTGATGGCATGCCAATTTGGTGCAGCACAGTCTGCAGTGAAAGACCTGACCTAGCAGGACGGAACAACTTTTCGTATACCCAACGTTATAAGTGTAATGTACACTGTTGCCACACGATAAATTATCTAATGCCTAGCACGCGAAGATATAGTTATGGTGTAGGCTGCAGTGCCCTGTATCACCAATTATGAGAGTAGTATCATGGGGAGAGAATATGACAATTAAATAATTGCTTCGGGGTGAACCTCTGGCAGCAGTTTAGCGAGAAACCATCGCTCAATATTTTGTTCTGTGCTTCAGCAAGTTTTGTGTTTTTGAGGCTGACCAAGGGATGTAACCTTTTCTGCATAACGACGGCCTCCCGAGGCGGATGTTTAACTGTGTTTTGGAGGAAGGTGTCATGAGTTTGTTCGAAGCAGCGCTTTTGAAATAAATACCAACCGGCACTAGTGCTTGAGGAGAGTGGCGCGTGAACATCTTGCGAGCACGCGCACATCATTTCTTAGAAAAGGCCCGTTCCGACACATCGAAGGACAGTGTGACAGCATGCTTTATGCAGTGCTGGTGATGATCCCATGACTGATGAAAGGGGGACCGGTTTTCTGTAGCGTTGAGGTCAAAGGTACGGGCACCAACGCACCCGTGGAGCATCGACGAGGAATGCGCACTCGCGCACCCTTGCCTTAAAGATACGAGAGATGCGGAATCGCAACGCGAGCGACTATTCTCGGCGCCAAATCTCCACGCTATTCTTGGGAAATGGTCGCCCAAAATATTGTCAGAAATATTTCGACCCCATGGTGGAATTAGGGTGCGTAAAACGAAAGGAGACACACGCAGATCGAAATCGTTCCAGGGCGGCTGGAGAGATGGTGCCAATGTGTTTTCTCATCGCAAGCAGGCACAAACAATCGCAACCCAGTCGATCACAATCGGACGCAGATGTCTGAACTAGCCCTTATCGCGCATGCGCAGCGCCGCTGCGCCGTTAGGGACGCACCGGTTCGTCTGTCAACATGGATCGTGCTCTGCAGCAGCTTTGTATGGGCGCCGCCATAACCGACCTTCAATTTTTGTTTCCTCTTCTTACGTCTACTTCACTTCACCATGACCACAGCAGGGCAAGGTATGGTCATCTTAAATTCTAGTGTGTCCTTCTCCGCAGCATTGGCCTTTGTGGAAGCTCGTCAAAGCCCGCTTCACTGGCTCGGCGTAGGCGCAAGAAGAGATGGTCGGCAATGGCGGCTCTACACAGGCGCGTGTGCAAAACGTCCATAGATCCAACTCGAATTTTAACAGCGAGGAAAAAAAAGAAAAGGCAAACTAAAAGAGAAAGAAAGGCTTATTTAGGTCCTCCCTCCTACAAATTGCAACTACAGTGTGATTCTCAAGACTGAGATCTAGGGGACTTGCCACAGATGGAAATTAAATCTTGAGGCCTATTGTCAAAGGGCTTAAACAAAACGAATAACCATTAAAACAAATACAGACAAACGCGACTTTTTCGCAGTGATTGGTTTTGCCAATGACGTTGTCTGTCCGTGTTTGTGTGCATCCTTCTTAGTAGAGCATTGAATAGCAGAAAGAAAACAATGCTAAGAAAAACGAAGTTCTAAATGAAACCGATTGGTTTAGCACGAAACTTGGGCACGTGGTTGTGCAGAGCGCGACATATTCAGCGCGAAGCGAAAAAAAAAAAACGATTGCCGGTTTTTCCCGTTTATCTGTTCGCATTGAAAGGCTCTGATCCAGTGCACTAGTAGAGTTGAAAGAGTTCATTCGGATCAGCGATTGAAGCAGCAAACTTCAGTGCTCCTCGACTTCCCTTCAGAGTAAATTGTAAAAGGAGCCCATGTCGCCTTTGTGCTAGCTGTATCTCGCGCCGTCTACATTTCGCAGCTAATATACACGTCCCATTCCAAAATTTTACGTTAAAAAAAACAAAAAAACAAAAAACAGATGCAGGTTGTTTTTAAAAACCGTTTACAATGATTTTTATTTTTTTTTTATTTCTGATTCTAATGCAAGGACAGCAGATATAAACTACGCATTGCCGAATGCTTTGTCTCCGCCAAAAATGCGACGCTATTGGTCCAAACCTGGTGCCTTAGTTTGACAGCTTGCCGTTTTTTTGCCGAATTACTTAAGCATCTAAAAGAATGCCGGGAACGTAGGTACGCGCGCTGCGCGTGCTGGCAGCTCCAGCTCAAACCGTTCGAAAGCAAAACTCTAAAGCCAATTGCACTTCGAACACGCGTTCCACTGACGCTTTCTTCTAGTTATTTCCTTCGAATCTTTTGTATACGGAAGGCGAGCACGTGCAGCTGGTGTACCTACGTTCCCAGCATTCTCTTCGATGCTTGGGTAATTCAGCGATATTGGAAGATGTGGCCCGTTCCCGGTGGCCGACGCCATTCATAATATTCGAAGAAACAAAATTGATGATGATTTTGAACCACATAATAGCAAGAACTAATACCTTCAGCTTTGATCAGTAGCGCTGGCGCTACATTTTGGGCGGAGACTAAGCATTCTCCGGCATGCGCAGTTTATATTTGCGGCAAAAAAACGCAGTCAAATAACTAATTATTTTTCAACAATATTATTCGGTTGTACATTCGTTTACCGATTTCACGAAGCTGCCGACCCCGTTAGGGCCTCAGTAGGAATGGATCCTAAGAGCAACGGCAGACGCGGTCGCACCTGTTAACACGCATAATTTTCGAAATAATTAAACCATCTTGGCATTAACCTCTTTTGGTAGTTCCTTTCATTCTACTATTGTCGTTGAGCACAAAAAAGTTGATAATAAAAAAAATGAACAGAAGGCGAATAAAACGTAGCTTTCAGTAGGGCTTGTCCGTATAAAGTGGCTGGTCGGACTCCGATACTTCTGCTCTTTGCTCGGTGCAGGGCCGAAACGGCAGCGGAAGAGTGCGGAAGAGACGAGGAAGGGCAACGAGCCCCAGAACGACGAGTCCCGATACAAGAGACTGGCCCAGGAACTGCCGGGATTCAACTGGTTGGAGCAAAAAATCATGGGCCACGGGAGCAGCAACTACAGCGAGCCTTCAGCCGCTGCCAAGCCGCCGCCTCCCAGAACGCCCACGGCCGTTGGGGAAAGAGAAGTACGCGAGCCTTGGCTTCATGCTCTGGTGTTGCCCACAAACGGAAAGATGAGCGGAAGTCTGCAAAGGACAGGTTTTGGGCTCTCGTGACATTTCTTTATCTCATTGGATCAGTACGGTGGTTCCTTAGTCCGCATATTTTGGACTGTTTCCTTTTTTAGAGGCTGCGAGAGGTGAGAAAAATGATTCCTCAACTATGATATGTGTATGCGTCGAGAACGTGAGGCAAAGGAGCAGACGCGAGGGGGCTTTAGAACGCCGAGCCCTGGTTGGTACGATTAGTGGGTACACCTAAAGCTAGCTGCCTTTTTGTGCACTGCGCTCGTCGAACGCGTTAGAACACGGAACGCCGGCGTCCGGCGTTTATCTTTCGCATTGGAACGCGTAGACTCCAAGCTCGGGCGGTTATCGCATCGGATAACGTTAAACGAGCTGTATCATAAATACGCGATAATCACGATGGTTTTCTTTTATCTTTATTTAATTTATTGTGTCGAGTAATTAGCTCTGTGATGCAAAATGCAGGTGTAATGCCAGCAGGTATAAGGAAAACAATACAATCAGTGTAATTTTCTGTAAGCATGTAATCCAATAATCTACCGCGACGCCCCCCCCCCCCCCCCCCCTCTTTTTGCGCCCCGTAAAGACCGGTAATGGCTTCCCAATCCGGCCATTTTTTTTAACTTTTCAGAAGTAATTGACAAAATGGACGTCTGGTGTTCGTTCGTTTGTTTGCTTATGTGTGTGTGTGTGTGTGTGTGTGTGTGTTTCGCATTGGAACAGTTCAGTGCTCAACAAACAGGTACGGAACACGCGAATCGTGTATTTTAGTTTGAGAGAACATAGCCTGGCCACAGTCGAACAAGAGCTTCGTGGCGTAGCGCTCCGGGCTGTAAGTGCGACGTCACGGTGCCATTGCCACGGCTGCCGCCAGAATTGCGATCCCACGAGAAAACACACGGCGTGTTCGGTATAGGCCAATGCACCGTCTACAAACAGGCCTGCATTTTTGCCACGCCCGGTGTGGACATTGGACATGCGCAGAAGACAGATTCGCGGGAGGTGAAACATCTGCCCATGCGCTCAACGAACAGCAGCGCTACCGTGTGACCTCCAAAGCGGGTGTTGGTCTACACGTATGGTGACCACTGTACAATATTCCAGGAAAATGCCCCCCTCCCCCCCCTTAAAAAAAAAAAAAGCCGGAAGCGTGCTCTTCTTTTCTACTAGAACGCAGGGACACGTGACAGAGCACACTCAAGGGTAGAGAGCCTAGACTTCAGAGAGGGAGGACACGAAACCATCCAGGACGTTTGCAATTTAGCGGCAGAGAACCTCCTGAGAAAATCGGCTGCTTCGTGCGCATGCGTGAGTTGCCCCGTGGTGAGGAGAAGAGCGGACAGAAAGGCTGAGTACGCTGAGCGCAGGTTCGTCTGCTTCGTTCGCATGGGTTGTTGTGACGTCACAAAGACGCCGACCTCTGATTGGCTCCGATTAAAAGATAGTGGGTAGACCTCAGGGCATGCTCGCTTTGAGGTCTACCCACTATCCTTCAATTAGAGCCAATCAGAGCTCGGCGTTCTGAGCGACGACTACGCCTGCGAACGAAGCAGACCCACTGGCGCTCCGCATGGATTGAAGGCGCTTGCAGACGATTAACGCTTTCGGATCCCTCTCGTGGCTCGTATTGCGAGCACAGCCCGTAAATTACACGACCCTGACCGAGCTGTTGGAAACACTGAAAATCCATGCAGACTTCTCTCGAAAGGCGGCGCTAGTTACCTCCCAATGCCCCTCTCGAAGCGAATGGAAGTTACGGTCGGTCGGTACTCGCTTTAAAGTTACACCGGTATTCTTAGAATATTAGCAGCGCCTGACGGGCTCATTCTTTCTGTATGTAACAGGCTGCCTTACCGCCTTGAATGGTATTGCAGAAGACGGAGCAGATTGGGACGGTGGCCTCTGAACCCGTGCCCAGATACCCACCGGGAACAGACATCCTCAGCAGATCCATGTCCGAAATTCAAGACGACTGCCCCGACGACGACCGCGGCTGCGAAGCGGAGACTGCCATACAGGTCCCAATCGAGTAAGTTCCTCCCTGAGATCACGGCTTCTTTTTCTCAGGTGGCGCTCAGCGTGCACTGCACGACACAGGTAGCGCGAACAGCGGGTCCGTGCTTGATTTCATTTTGCAAAGTACCGAAACACGCAATGTATAGCCGCCAAACCTTATGCCGCAATCGAGCGCACTCTGGAGCATTAGTGGCTTTGATTACAGACTTTATTTCTGAAAGCAAGAAAGGTTAAATGAAAACTCCTATCACTTGCTCAAGCTGAAGGTATTGCTCCCTACATGTATTTTTTTCTCGGTCAACGCTCCCGGATAACGTTGGAGTGGACCTTTTGAATTGTTGCCTTTTAGAAGAACAGAAGTCGCGCGACTTTAAACTTTTCTGCCGAGCTTTCGTTTGATTCGATAGAGAGAATAAACTTCATTTCACAACTCAATTCCCAGTTGTTGTATTCTAGTACTGGCTGGGGCAAGGACCAACACGTCATCAAGTCTAACTTGATTCATACTTCCTGTTTAAAAAGTACCCAAATGTTTTCTTGCTTTTTTTTTGTTTTCTTTGGAGCATACATTTTTCAACTATTTTCCGCAGAAAAGCTTACAAATACGGCACAATGGTTATTTGAACCTCAGTATGTGTATAAAATTCCATAAGACATAAGATTAATCCTCAAAATTTCACCCCAAAATCCATGTATGCCTTTGGCCAGGCATGTTTTCGTTTCCTTACCAGTGAAATGCGTGCGGTTAGAATACGATGGTTGACATGTTGCGCCACGTATCCCGTTCCGCGGTTGCTCCACATTTCTAGCAAGGACAAAATGGAAAAAGCAAAAAAGCACTACCGTTGCGCAAGGAAGAAACAAACGCAGCAGCTATCGAAGGGAAAAGGCTGTCTATTCGTCTGCCGCACCATGGTGCGCTCTATAGCATTTTCATTGTCATTCTTTTTTAAAACGAATTGACTATAGGTATTTTTTTCCTTTCTTTTTTCTAATGTCGAGTTGAATTAAGGCCACTAACTTCGTCAAGTTGAGAGAATGGTCCCCTTCAGCTTTTCAAGAAAAACAACTGCTTTCTACTACATTCTTCTTCAACTTCAACAACTTCTACTTTCTACTTTCTAGAATTGCCTACTACATTTTACTTCTAGTTTTGCTCATTCGGGCGCGTGGACCCATATTTTTTTTTCTTATTGGCTTGAGATGGTAGCAAATGGCTATTAGGAAATAGTGTTGATAGTTATGGGCTATTTTTAAGTTTAAAAACTGGAATGGTTTTAAGTGACTGGCAATGCCTATTTGTGTGTATAATTGACAATATTTTTTATTTCAGAGTTTATGTACGAGCAAGTCTTCAAAAAGCTATTATTGGCTACAAGTTGTTGTATTTTTATTAGATTGACTTGAAATGGCTACAAATGGATATTAGTGCCAAGCATTGATAATTATGAGCTCTTTCTTTGTTTATGAAATGGAATAGCTGAAATTGACAATTCTTTGCTATTAGCATATCTCTTTTACTTAGTATGGCTACAAATGACTACTAGTTGCTACTGGTAGTTATAATTGACAAATATGTATAACAATGGCTTCAAGTGGCTATTATTGGCTATGAGCATTATATTTTTTAATTAGATCGGTTTAAAATGACTGCGTATAGCTATTTGTGATTATTATTGATAAATATATGCTACTCCTCTGTTTCGAAAGGGGAATGACCTCAAATGGCTAATGTTGGCTATTAGCACCTAATTTTTACCATAATGATTTTAAACGGCTAACAATGGCTATTAGTAGGCATTGTTAGCCAGTATTGTGAATGCTAGCCTGTAATAGTCATTCTGAAACATTTTAAGCCGATTTTGTTCATAATAGATACTAATAGCCAACAAATAATGCTTGATAACCCTTCCAAGCGTATGAAATAGCAGAACATTACAGTTAGTAAGCACCAAAGGAATTTTATAGCCAATTCAAGACACCCACACCAAGAATAGATGCTTATGGCTTATCATATCTAGTTGAGGTCAATCAAATTTACCGACGGACCAACTGGAAAAAGTGTAAATATTAGTCGCATTTGGACATGTATAGACATTTCAAGCAAATCATGCGAGGAGCAGCGGCCAAAAGTCAATGTCACTTCAATTTTATTTGAAAAAATTCAGATAGCACATGATTATCAATATTAGTCACTAATAGTCAGTTTGAAGGAATTTAAGCCAACTTTGTTAAGAATAGATGCATAGACCCATCATTGTTTAAGCCAATATAGCTACTTGTCTCATTCATAGACTCCTAAATAGTGCAGAATTGTCAATTATACTCACAAATAGCCATTTCTAGTCAATTAACGCCAATCTTGTGTCAGCTATATGCTACTAGCCAGCAGTAGCCACTGGAAGCCACTCCGATTCATAGACATAGAAATAGTTCATATTCATCACTACCCAGGCAGCACACCGGCACTGGGCCAGCGTCGGGGGAATATTGCTCTCAATATTGGCCCAGTTTCATGTTTTACATTACGGTCCAGTAATGGGCCAATATCGGTTAACGATCGTTCTCAAATGGGCCAGAGTCGGCGATATCATTCGAGTTCTGGGCAGAGATGGGCGAATATCGGTTAACATGGCCGCGGCCGTTGCGGTGTCAGCGGACTTGAACCAAGCCAACGTTACTAAAACTGATCAGTTGGGAAACTTCCATAGAGCCTGCTCTGAATAAGTGGCACCGATCCGTACTCGAGAGGCGAGCTATTAGCGATTGCAACGCCGCCATTTCTCCCGCACCGGCCACTCGAGGAACTTCACGTGACTTCTATTTTGGCTTTAATCGGCCATTTTGGCTCCGAAACAGATACGGTGGAAGGCGTTTCAGGGATGTCACCTCCGACTCCCAAGCAGGCGCGCCGCGAATTACTGCCGAAGCTAGGATGCGCCTAGGTCAGGGCGCGCTACCTGAAATCACCGCTGAGGCATGGTTGTATAATAACAATATTAATTGTGCCACAAACCTTGTAAACTAAAAATTTTAGAAAACATCACGCGCCCCCCAATTTTGTACCAATCTCCAATAAAAGTTACTACTAAAGAGGTTTTTCCGTTTGTTTGTACGGAAAAGTCCAGTTCCAGCCGCTGATTGCCCGGCGCGCCCTTAGCGCGGCCCGTGGCAACAGCGGCGGCCGCCGCGATTGGCCGGCGCGATTGACCGCGATTCAGTGTTTTTTTTAGAAACGGCCAAGAATTCCTAATACTGGCCGATATGGCCTGCTCAGACCCGACAAATTACCGGAAAAAAGCGCTGGATACTGCGTAGCGTTGGCCGAACGAAGGGATCTTCCGCCGACATCGGCCAGATTACAGCAATACTGGGCCGATATTTACGATCCAGCGCCAATATCGGCAGTATCAGAATGATATTGGCCATATTTCTCTGATCCGTCGCCAATAGTGGCGCAATACTGTGTGCTGCCTGAGTGCTTGTTCCTGGCAACCATTGTAGCCATTTCAAACCAATATCGCTGAAAGTTGGATGTCTAACAAGCACATAATTGTCAACTGTATTTACGAATAGCCATTCATAGCCATTTGAAGGGAATCTGGTAAAAATAGATGCTAAATAGTAAAAAATAACCACATGAAGTCATTCCAATTTGTACTTATAAATAGATGCCAATGGCCAAAAATAGCCACTTCAATCCATTCCAGTTTGCAGATACAGAAATAGCTAATAATTATAAATACTAGTCACCTATAGCCATTTCTAGCCAATTAAACCCAACCAGGTCAATAATAGGTGCTTAAGCCAATAGTAGCCAATCTAAGCAAACCAGGTCAAAAATAGATTCCTATAGCCAATAAAACCAGTTGAAGTTAACCAAATATATACACTTTCCAATGGCATAAGTTGTCAATAATAGTAGCTATAATAGCCATTTAAAGTTATCTTAATCCATAAACACCAAAATAGCACCGAATTAACAAGTATATTTAAGAATAGTAATTTCTACCCATCGGAAGACAATCTTGTAAAAAAAATTAGATGCCAGTAGCCAAAAATAGCTACATGAAGCCATTCCAGTTTGTAGACAAAGAAATCGTTAATAATTATCAATACGGGTCCCTTATAGCCGTTTGTAGCCAATTCGAGTCAACCAAGCCAGGAATAGATGCTTATAGTCAATAATAGGCAATTCAAGCCAACCAAGTCGAGAATAGAAGACTATAGCCAATAATAGCCAGTTAAAGTCAATCAAAACCACACACACTCCGATTGCATAAATTGTCAATATTAGTATCTGATAGCGATGTATAGCCTTTTTAAGCCGATCTGGTCAAGAACTGCCCATAGCCATTGCCACTTGAATATATTCATATTCAAAAAGTCGTGAATAGCAAATTGTCTATAATACTTGGGAGAAGAGCGTGTTGGTTCAAGTGAAGAAAATGAACAATTAACACTGGGACAACACCCCCACATCTTTCAACTAGCAACAGACGATTAAAAATTCCCACAGCAAGCAGCCGACTAAACCCAGGAGGGAAAAGGGGGGATAAGGGGAGACAAGCTGAGATAAGAAACGCGAAGTGCAAGTCAAAGAGGTGGGTTTTTTTTTTTTCGGAGTTTAGAAATTCAACTTCAGTTTTCGTCAGCAGGAGGGAAGGGTTTGACACGTTGTTGTTTGCTGTGGTCATGGCGAATGACTATGATCTACCAGCCGAATCTGCTGTTATGCTCCCCCCTCCCCCCCCCCCCCCCCCCCCCCAAGATTTTTGTTTCATCAAATAGGGGATGACAAAGCGTACACGAACGGGCATGTATGACTACGGGATGATAGGAATCTGGAGAGACCTTAGAAACTTCGTTGTGATGTTCCCGGAGACTGTGGTTGGTGCATCTTCCGGTCTGACCTATGTATTGATGGCCGCAGCACCAATGACAGACTCCGGGAACAACCTAACCTCTCTGACTTGCTCTTCGCGTTTCTTATCTCCCCTTCTATCCCTTTCTCCTCCCTTTCCCTCCTGGGTTTAGTCAGCTGCTTGCTGTAGGAAGTTTTGAATCGTCCGTTGGTAGTTGAAAAATGTGGTTGTGTTGTCCCAGTGTTAATTGTTTGTTCTTTCTTGATCTGTCAATAGTGTTCACTAATCTTCTTTCTAAAGCGATTTAAGGCGATTTTGTTAAGAGCAGATGCTAATTGCCAACAACAGCAAACTTGAAGCAATTTTCATTCATTTTGTGGAAATACCAGGACATTGCGACTAATCAGCACTAAGAGCCACTTGTTGCAAATTCGAGCCAACCAGGTCAGGAACAGATGCTCGCAGGACATAATAGCCGATTCAAGCCCTCGCCTGTAGGTTATTTGCTACGCTGTACCCACACTTGGCGGTCTTTGATTATATCTCGGCGCGTAATATCAGTGCTGCCCAAAAGTGTTCCCTGCATACTCACGGTGATTTAGAGTCGGAGAGTAGCAGCAATGCACCCTCGCCAGTATCAGGCACGTTGCCAGGGGGGGGGGGGGGGGGGGGGGGGGTGCGGGGCCAATGGGGACCGTCCCCCCCCCCTCCCCCCCGAAATCTTACATTTTGCTAGGACCTCCTTCCCCCTCCCCCTCATACAGCATTTTGTCATGGGCGCCGCCCCCCTCCGAAACAAAATCCTCGCTACGTGCCTGGTCAGTATTTATTTATTCTAATAGCTTTATTTACCGTATAAATATTGCGGGAGCTGATAAAAGAAAGCTGTCTAAGCAGCCTGACTAGTCCTCAGCCCCCTCAAAGGTACAAAGCGGCTGCAGAAGCACACGCAAGAAATTAAATGAACGAGAAAAAAAAATCAATAAAGGCAAAAAGCAAACAGAGAACACCTACGAGGAAATCATAATTACTTTGACAGAAAAACATCTCCTAATATCAAAGCAAAGAGCAAATAAAGAAGAAAAACACCTACGAGGGAGTCGGTGTAATCACATAATTACTTCGATAGAAAATATCTCCTAATATCACACATGCTACAGGATTCTATATCAAAACTAGACCGGATCATTTTGTTCAGAAACGTTGGCAGTGTTATTTGAATCATCTGTAAACCATACTGTCGGCCCTTTACAGGGCCTTTACAGGAGTAGTAATACATACAGGATGTAAAAGCACAATCATGCACTGACACTTAAAGAAAGTGATTCACCCGGAGGAATAAAAAAGCAAAAGAAAAATGCATTCAAACACAAAGTCACGTTGTTTCCCGCGGCTAGTTATATTAAAGGAGGTTATACAGGGTGCTTTTTTTACTTTTTTTTAACTCGCTCACAGTTGCAACCTGTGCGAGAGAGTTATACACTCAGGGAAACATAATATAGGTCTCATGCATCGTCAGAATAAGTTGTATGATTAACTAAAGCTTGATAATTAGGTTTATGTTAAAAAATAAGCATATGTTCAAAAAGAGAACTTCCTGAGCCTCATCACAAACCACCGAATCAGGAAAATTTCATAAAGACTGGGAGCACGTAGGTAGCGAGGCTTACCTCTCGTGCAACATGGCTCAAGACTCGCCGGGATAGAACGCGAATTATTATTTTTATTCTCATTTCGGCACCGCCAACCTCGCGCCCGAAGCACGAGGGGTGACCTTAGCTTTTTTGATGACGCTCATCAAGCTCTTTATTGAAACCTTGTTTGTTTTCACAGACAAAAAGTTTATTAACGAGTGTTAGTTAATTAATCGACTTATCGTGACAATTAGCACGGTGTATTATGTCACCCTGGCCGTGCAACTCACCTGCACAGAGCGCGATAGGGTTTTCTAAGCAAGCTGCAAAGCGGTAAAAACGTCCTGTAGATATCTGAAACTGCCGGAGTTGTGTTGGAGTTCAGGAAAGTACCTTGGGTGCGGGCGGGCAGTTGAGCGCATCATACGTGGTGTGTCATTGTAAAGGGCGATTCGCACACTTTTGTAGAGTGCGACCGAGTGCGAGGGTTGCTATGGCAACAACTGCGTCGGCTTCAACAAGACGAGATAGAAACCGGCTTTGTCGGAGCCGACGCAGCTGTTGCTATAGCAACCCTCGCACTCGGCCGCACTCTACAAAAGTGCGTGAATCGCCCTTAAAGAAGTCAAAACCCACATGTGACAAGCATATATAGGGTGTCTGAAATACACAGGCTCTATATGAAATAGGTCGTAAAAATCGGCGGTTGCACGTAGCGATCTAAACTTTTTGTCAAAGGTGTATTTCATTGGTCGGTTTTATCTTCTAGAATTACAAAGCGTAGCCCCCTTTCTGTAGAAAATAGTGGCAAAAACGCTTGCCAGGATCAGCGGTAGACGGCGACGCAGACGACCGACTCTAGTGGCGTGGCGCGTTTGGCGCACGTATTGGTAGAGGGCGCTACCTCCTTATCGAGACTGCTCGCGACCCCCGGGGTTTATTAATATGAATATCATCTTTTTGCAATGTACCTTTGGTTTAAGAATAAAAGCGGACAATTATAGCAAAACGAAGTAGCGGAAGGAAAGACAACGGCGCTCTTGTTGCCGAAGGATTAGGCGCCCCACCACTCGACTCGGTCGTCTGCATCGCCGTCTTCCGTTGACCCTGTGAATTGTTTCGGCCCTATCATTTACAGAAAAGGAGCTACGCTTTGATATTTCGCGTGAGAAAGCCGACCTGTCAAATACAATTTTGGCAAAAAGTTTAGATTGCTGCGTGCAGGCGCCGATTTTCGGGGCCCATTTTAGATCGAGCCTAGGTATTTCAGACATCCTATATACGTAGTCCGAATTTTTTCTATGATATGAATCTTATTAAAATGCATCAAACAAAATCATTCAAATTGTTTGAGAGTTAAATATAACGAAGTAATAATATATGCTATATTTTTTTTCCTGCCTATCATCCAGTGTTCCGCAGCCAGAGAGTGTCATCAGAAGTACAAAAGGTGAGAAAATATTTGGGATATAAATTGCGGCCACAGAGTCTGCGCCTAAGATGACAACTATGACATCTTCTCTACGTGTTTCGAAAACTGAAGGGGAACAAATAAATGAATAATTAAATAAATAAATAAAGATATATATATATAGATATATATATATACAGGGTGTTATTTTTTATTCGAAACAGATTTATCTTAAAAAATCCGTAAAAGATGGAATGATACGGTTTGTGCAAGTGAGTTATACGGCCACGGGGACATTTTATAGGGGGCTAATCGTAACGATCATTTGGCTAATTAATTAAATTTCGTTAATCAACTTTTCAAATGATGAAAATAGACATATGGTTCCAATTAGAAACTTGCACAGCGTCACCGAAAACCACTAAATCAGTCATTTTCAGAAAGACTTTGAGCGCGTGAGAAGCGTAGTAGTGCACTAAAGTTACCGCTCTTTGAGCAGGTACAAAGCTAGCTGTTGCGGTAAGGTGCCCGCGCGATTTTTCCGTCTCTTATCTAGCCCCAGCCTTGTACCTGCTCAAAGAACGGTAACTTTAGTGCACTACTACGCTTCTCACGCGCTCAAAGTCTTTCTGAAAATGACTGATTTAGTGGTTTTCGGTGACGCTGAGCAAGCTTCTAATTGGAACCATATGTCTATTTTCATCATTTAAAAAGTTAATTAACGAATTTTAATTAATTAGCCAACTGATCGTTACGATTAGCCCGCTATAAAATGTCCCCCTGGCCGTGTAACTCACCTGCACAAACCGTATCATTCCATCTTTTACAGATTTTTTAAAATAAATCTGTTTCGAAAAAAAAAAATAACACCCTGTATATATATATAAATATATATATATATATATATGTATATATATATATATATATATATATATATATATACATATATATATATATATATATATATATATATATATATATATATATATATATATATATATATATATATATAACACTCTATATGTTGTAGTGTTCGGTGCTACTGCTCACCCGCAAGAAGGACCAACGAGGCAGATCTCATAGAACACACCTTTACTGTCTGGCGGCAGCCAACCGACTGCCCAGCCCCCCGAGCCTCGAGCGTGGCTCGCGCGCACGTTGTGCGCCGGGCGCGGAGCACAGCTTCTTTTGCCCGATGATGGGCCGCAAATCCCACAATGTATATATATACAGGGTGTTTCAGAGAACTCAGGCCAAATCGCTCCTGAAACAAATACTCATCACAACGAAAACAGGCTGGTGTCGTTTTGGTCTTAGGCCAGCGGCCCATTTAGGAAAATTATTAAAGTACGTGATAGTTAAGTTCTTAATTATTTTCGCGCAATTAACTTTATTAAATATTGTGTTTAAGGGCATGGTTTCAATCAGAAAATTGCTCAGCATCGTCGATAAGCACTAAATCAACAAATTGCAGAACGATAGAAAGCACGCGAAGCATTTTACGGCTTTCTGAAAAACCTCACAAATTCGACGGGCTTTTAAGTTTCGTTTTGAAATATGAAAACAGCGCGCAAAAAGACGAAGACGACGAGAGAAGAGCACAGGACAAGCGCTGACTATCAACTGAAGTTTTATTAAAAAAGGCTCAAGCAAGAAAACACCACACAGTCAACCAACGCCGAAACAACCAGTGGCGTTTCGCTCACCAGTCATCTATAAAATCTATCTATTTTTTGTGAAGATAAACAGAAGGTTGGCTGACGCAGTGCCCCGCGCCAGCTTTTTCGATAGCATGCGCCTCCAGCACCTCTCTTTGCACTTTTGTGCGCCCCCTGCCCCTGCCTCCCTATTTTTATGTTCATAACTCTAGATAATATCAAACACAAGAAAATATGTGTGCCTAACCTTCATTACCGTGATATTAGTACAAAAAGTCTCGAATATTTTCAAGAACAAATTAACATAACAGACTGGAGTGTGGTTCTGTCTTAGGTGTCGGCAGACGAGGCATACGAGAGTTTTCTTGAAACGTTTTGTGATATATCTAACCGTGTATTTAAGTACAAAAAGCATATAGTTCATAAAAAGTGTAGAAAACCATGGGTCACAGCAGAAATATTAAAAATGATGAAGAAAAAAGATGCACTTTATAGAAAATTTATGCGTACAAGAGATCCAGTTGTATTGTCAAGTTTTAAGAGTCAAAGAAACAAGATAACAAGTGAGCTACGGCGAGCCAAACGGTCATACTATTTTTTGCTTTTTCGGGATGAAAAGAGAACGGATGTTTTGTGGAAGAAGTTAAATTCGATATTGCATGAAGGACGTCAGTTTGGAGAAACAACCGAGCTTGCGGTTGAGGGGGATATTAAAAAAGGTAAAGCTCTTGCAGACGCGTTCAATGATTTTTTTGTCGATTTAGTTAACAGCGTTCACTCTCCTGAAGCTTCAAAATATGTTAAATGTCTTTCTGACAGCATATTCCTCTCTCCAACTAGCGAGGAAGAAGTTATTTCAATTTTTATGAGTCTAAAAAACAGCAAAAGTTCCGATTCTCAGGACATTCAAATAAAGCCCATTAAATATGTTATAGAGTCTATTGCTTTTATTTTAACTCATATATTTAATGTATGTCTCGAGACTGGTGTTTTTCCGCGTAAAATGCAGATAGCAAAAGTTTCTGTCATATATAAAGCAGGTGATAGGAACGATCTTAGTAATTACAGGCCAGTGTCCATTTTACCAATATTTTCAAAAGGATTGGAAAAAATCATACATAAAAGACTTTACACTTTTTTTGAGAAACACTCAATTCTTAGTCCCCGGCAGTACGGGTTTCGGAAAGGGTACTCGACAGAGTTAGCGTTACTTAACCAAAAAGAGATAATTCTAAACAACATTGAAAATAAACTTCTTACATTGGGAATCTTTATCGATTTTTCAAAAGCTTTTGATCGCATTAATCATAAAACTCTTCTTCAAAAACTAGAACTTTCTGGTATTCGGGGAATAGCCCTGAAAATACTCGAGAGTTACTTACAGTTTCGCTTTCAAAGAGTTGTAATAAATTGCCAACGTTCTGAGTCTAGAAAACTTAATGCAGGTGTTCCACAGGGTAGTATTTTAGGGCCTCTTTTATTTAACCTGTATATTAACGACATAGCTAACATTGACGATGAAGCAAACATGATAATCTATGCAGATGATGCTAGTATATTTTTTGCAGGGTCCGATATTTCGGACATTATGAAGACAGGTAATACATTTCTAGAAAAACTTTATACGTGGACAGTCCAGAACTCTTTAGTGATAAATAGTAATAAAACGAAAGCTGTCGTTTTCAGGTCAAAGGGGGTAAAAATGAGCGGAAGTCAGATTCTCTCCTTAGATTCACGTGGTATAGAAATTGTGCAGAGCGTCAAAGTTCTTGGTGTCATGTTTAATGAATACATGCGATGGGATGAAACAGTTCAGATGATAGCGAAAAAACTATCGAAGGTGGTGGGTATAATTTATAAGCATAGAAAAACATTACCCCAGTCTGTACTACGACTTCTTTATAACTCTTTATTCTACTCATGTTTTAATTACTGTTTCTTGGTATGGGGAAATACTACTTCTGCAAATATTCATCGTATTCATATACTTCAGAAAAAAGTAGTTCGTATTTTGTGTAACGAAGCACATGATAGCCACACGGCACCACTATTCAAGAAATTAGGAATTGTTCCAATCACGAATCATTATGAGTATAAACTTGCCCTGGCATATAAAGCAGCGATAAACCACCCGGGAAACAGTCTTCTTTCTCTTTCCTGCCTTCACTCACAAAACACTTCGTATGCCACCCGCCATGCCGACACCTGGACGGTCCCGCGCTCAAGAACAAACTATGGAAATCAGATGGTGAGATACCAGCTGCCCAAAATGTTAAACTATTTTTTGTCGCGTAATATTACAATTGAAAACTGTTCTAACGAACGCATATTATCTTTACTAGTTTCGTGAGAAATCTGACTGTGTACTCTTGAGAGCGTTTTTTGTTTTGAGTGCCTCTTCTGCTGTTGCTGTTGGGGGAGGAGAGGGCACTGTCAAGCAGTTTTGTACTGCTTTTTTCCCTCCTCCCTCTCTTCTTGCTTGAAGAGGAATAAAGAAACTTGAAACTTGAAACTTGAAACTTGATTAAGGTATTTTGGAAGACGGGGTGACACTGGCAGTCTCTGCAATGTACGTACAAGTGACCTCCGGTCATTGACCGCAGGGAATTCGCATGCTAACGCAATCTCTCGTTGACGCAGCGTCCCGATTGTCCAACGTAAACCCGTCCGCATGACAATGGAATTTTGTAGATGACACCCACAACGCAATCCACGAACTTGTTGACATGCTTAACAGTACATGACATATTTTTACTGCTTGCCTGGTTTACGCGCGGGCAAAGTTGTGCTAATTTTTAAGGCGCTGAAAAAACCATTGGCACATTGAACCGGTTAGCCACTTTTTTTAAATTGTGTGAAACCTTATGTAAATATGGGACAACCTGAGGCCTTTGTTTAGGCTTTACTTTTGGTTCCTGAGAACCGCTCTTGACTTTTTTCAAGAGTGTCTGAGAGACACCAAGCAAAACAGAAAGAGGAAATCCTGCTCCTAAAAGTCGCTTGACCTGGGCTTCATAGCTGTCAAGCATGGCATGGTGACAGGACCTGTACAGTGAAGCTTGGAGGCATGACGTGGCAATATTTCGTTTCACAAGTTTGGAGAGGCGGAATCGTATGGCAGGATTTCCTTCTTGGTTCGCGGGTTGTAGAGCCAACACACATGTTGCCCAGTGAATTGCAGCCGTAAATCCAAAAACTGCAAGTACTGACCGTCTAGCAGTTCGTAAGTGAACTTCAGGCCTGAAGAGCAGCGCTTGAAAACGGTCATTACATCATCCACAACCTTTTGCGAAGACAAACTGCCGACACTCCTTAAGAACACCAGATAATCGTCAACATATCTGTATATCTTGCACACCTGTTGACACAATGCCGTTTCTA